CTTTACTAAACACCTTTTATAGATATAAAATAGCTTAAGAACAAAAGTTTACTTTTGAATACTTTGCTTACAGCTTATATTGATAATGTTTTAAAAATATTTCCAGATAAGCTTAAACTTCAATGTATTTTTAATATTTTAAAATTTGGTTATAAGATTAAGTATTGAACCTTAATACATTTTAAATACATATCTTCTAGTTTTTGCTACCTTGAGATTGAACAGAAGATACCATTAATATTATAGTACATTTTGTATGTCTTCTGAATATGAGAAAGAATGAAAAGTTTTGGAATAGCCTGGAGCAGTTTTTTTATTCTTTCAATATTTGAAGATTTTGAAAAGCAGGAGTGAAATCATTGTTGAAGGAATAGAAAAGAGTCAGAAATTGAGTTTTGCAAAGGTCTTACCACAATTTTGCAAGAGGCTATAGATAGAATTTCAGGCTATGTCCCTGAACCAGATTCTTGTGTGTGCTCTGTATTAGTTATATTTACAAGTATTTTCCTAGTATCTATGCAATACTTGTTTTGTAATCATTTTAATTCCACAACAATGCTGTTATCAACGAACATTTCTTTGTTCTATTTGCATTATGAATTGACTGAAGATACAAGTTTTGATTTTCTTATTCAAATCTTTCATTTATTGACTTTACAGGTTTGTTTGTTTTTTTTTAATCTGTAAAAGGCTAACACACTGTTGTACCGAACAGCTTGAGTCTCCAGTTTCCAGACATCATAGTTAATTACAGAACTCAGAAAGGACTTCACACAGAGGTACAGAGAGACAGGACACATAATTAGGACATACTATCACAATTAATATTTTTCTAAAACCTCTCATCAAAGTAGCCGCAGATACCAAAACACAATTAAAATTTGCTAGAAGATATAATGGACTTTTTACTGAGCAGAGACATAAAAGTTGGATGCAGAGCGAAGCCTACTAGGTGTATGAAAAGCACCAAAGAAGTCTTTAGTATGTTCAAGGAAATAATCTCTTACCAGGACAGATGTTTGTGGACAAAGTACGGGTGGAGATGGTACTTATGGGACTTCTAAACAAAATTGCTCTATTTTTCCTAAGTGCTGAAAATTTTCATCTCTTGGTTTTGGTAGGAAATGTTTGAAAAAGTGCAGTGTTTGATATGAATGCAGTGATTGTTTTGGATACTTTTGCACCAAAGTCATCCACTAAGTTTAAGTACTCAGAGAAAAATGCAAATTTATTTTTTTTTCCTTTGGGACTTTGAATTTCTATTTTCTCACAGTTTGGCACCAGATTTTAGTTTCTTATTCTTCTTCAGGGTTCAAATCACTATATTTCATTGCTCTTCAGAAGCCAAAGAAAAAGAAATAACATTGCCAAAGATTGCAGCCTCTGCTAACATTTACGTTACTGTATTTCTCTGTAGAGTTTTCCTAAGGATTATAGAGCATTAAAAGGAAACCTACTTCTGAAATGACAGAGAATTTATTCCATATTTACTCTTAGGCAACCAAATGAGCTTTTTGGCATTTCATTCAGACTTTCTGTGATTAGCTTTTTATGTCCCCTTCATATTTTTTCATTCCCGTTAACATCCGTTAGTCATGTTACAGACTCCTTTGTACTTCTCTGGTGTCTATTGATTCTACCTCATTAAAAAAAATCAGCCCTTCATCTCTTGTCTTTGGCTATAGGTCCTTCCTACTGCTTCTATCAACTGAAATTTCCTTTTTTCTTTTTCATTTTGACAACCTCCTAGTAAATTGCATTGTTTCTGCATTAACTCCTATCCGGTTCTATATGAATATCAAGAACTGTGAAGGCTCTTAGATTTTACTTTACTTACAAGCAAGCAAGTTATCCTGACACAACCTAATGGATCTTTGTGGTGCTTTACATTTATTACTGTTGCACATAACTATTCATTTAACTTGAGTCATTTCATTTGAGGTTGATCACTGGAATCGGGCCTCGAATCTGAGCTCCAAACAGGAAAGATGCAAGTGTTCACTGACAGTTGATATGCTTTGCTCCAGCTTCCTTTCCTTTGGTTAATTTGGAGAGGAATGTTAACACAATAATATATTCTTGTCTCAATACTGCAGCCCCCTTCCTGACACGAGGGTGGTCTGCCTTGCTGAAATATTTGCCATTCACCCCACTACTGTTAGAATGATTAGTACCACAGGTGTGTAATCAATAATTGCTGTTTTCATCCTCTCCGAAACCTCATTCTAAACCCTCTATTTTCATCATTGTATTTGTGGGCACTCATTTTGGTAATGTATGGAGGCCGGAATATATGGGGTACCCTCTTATTCTCTACTTATATGGCCTACAACTTGGATTTCTGAATTTCAGGACAATCTGTTTCCCAGACATTTTCCAAAACTGCCATGGCAATAAATTTAGTTCCAGGCTTTCAGATCTTGTCCACAGGGTGTAACAAAACTGTGGCCTATGAATCTGACATCTGAACTGTGTTTATGTTATTTTAGCAGATATCCCTTTCTTCCAGTGATTGTATTAATTATTGCAGTACTCCAAACCACTTCCAGAGTATGTGTTGGGGCTAAGTGTTATAGGTATTATATTAAATCCTTTACATACAAGAAAAGGCAAGGCTAGCTAATTTGCCTAAGGTCATAATGTTAGTAAGTGAGGGGGCCAGATATTAACCTGCAGCTGTCTGCCTCTACAATCCATGCTCATAACTACTTTATGCCTCTTCAAATTGTTGTCATATGAGAGTTATAAGTAGTAGTTGTTATGGATTCACACTAGAGGCAATAGCATTAGAGTTTATGGAGGAGTAAATTTCAGCTGATTCTTGAAATGGGGGAAAGGTTTGAATATGTGGAGAGGAGAGAGCATTCCAAGAGGAACAGAATGAGCAAAGATTCAGAGATGGGACTAGAAAGAATATGTTCAGGGGATAATGAAGAAATTGAATTGACTCTGTAGAAATAATAACAAATGAACTTGTTTAGTACTGAAGTTTTATCTATTAGAACTGTACTGAAAAAGCCTTAGTTTTGTCTCAGAGTTCTTAGATTAATTGGGTTCTGTTTTTAAAAATGCTTCAAAGCTTATCTCATTCATTGGGAACACTGATTCAGATTTCAGATGGAAGTACATTAGTAAGAAAATAATAGAATAAAATTCTGTCTTTAGAGTTTTTAAATCTGTTCATCTATGTTTTGAGCTAGTTCTGCCCATGCCAGGGTAATTTGGTTAGGTAACTTGTGATGAAATTGGTTCAG